ATGCTATATTTATGATATGCTTAGAGAGATTCAGCCCTCAGCAGAACCCATGCTGAACTTCTCATTGTTAATATCAGAATCTACAATACTAACTCTCTTATTGTTAATATCAGAAAGGCTCAGACACCAGCCCCTTGGACGCTTGAAAATTTCTCCATTCCAGGGCACTACAATCACCTCAGGATGTACCTCCAGGATCACTCCACTCCAGGATGGGTTTACCCTACAAGTGTCTGGAACCCAATGGGCATTTTAAACTGCGCCCTTCCCGTCAGAGTTATAAAATGACCCAGTCACACTTAAGAGTCCAAATGAACTGTCTAGCAAAGTGAGAGACGGGCTACACCAATGTATCAGTACCTCAACCTCACCTAGAGGATACTTTGTTCCTTAGAGTTAGGTGATTGTATTGTCAGTCTTGAAAATATTGAAGTTAATAGAAAGGTGATAAAAAAATCGAGTCCATAGTATTAATACTTGTGTATTAAATTTAGGAGTAGTCTATCTTTGCAATAAATTGAAAAATCTGTAATATTTAAGGTACTTTCACATAGCAGTGTTGTAAATTTAAGTTAAAATATGTAACAGAATATTAACTAGTTTATAGATAGCATTGAGATATTAAGGAGAATTCGATTTACCGTATAAATTATTTAAATTTATTAAATTTATATAGGTCAGTTTTGTGCTTGGCAAGGTTTTGTTTATTAAGGCTAGAAGTTTCTCCAGTAGCCATTTCAAGTGCTTAAAAGAAAAGAAGATATATTCAAGTGTTTTTATGTTTTAAAATTTAAAGGCATTTAATTAATTAAGTTTTAAATGTTTTAAGGCAATGCATTAACTAAATCTATAAATGGCACTGTTTTGTTTAAAGAGAACTTAGCCTACTCAACTTTAATTAATCAAATATCAATCAATTAATAATTACGAAAGTAATTGTACTTATTTCATACAGAAGTTATAACAAGATTTATAGATGGAACTTAACTAGGTTGTCAATTTGTAATTTAATGTCCAAATATTTTTTTAAAAATACATAAGTAAAGCATTATTGCTTTGTACAAATTACACCCCAGGGAAACAAAGAAACTCATTTGACAGAAATAAAAATGTTTTTTTTGGGTTAACAAAATCAGGGAGCTGTTTCCAAAATATAGTGGCTTCGAGAAGCTCATCCCCAAGCATCTGAAGTAGCAGGTTGATAATAGTGGCTCTTGAGAACTTCTTAGTATTTCACTCTCTATTTTGAAAGTGTGAATCTTGAACTTTTTAAAAAGACATGTTCAGTTTCGTAGGCAAAGAGTTTTGACATACAGAGGGAGAGTGAAACCCGTTCTTTGCTCAGGGGCATTCTGAAGGTAATCGCTGCTACAAGAACTTACATGGACACTACTTCCTGGAAGATCATATCATGAAGAAAAGAAGAAATAGTCCACTGTTGCTGACCTTGAAATCGTAGCCATAGATAACAGTTTTTTTCCTAACTTAAAATAGCATTGCCATACTATTAGCCTATATATTGAAAGAAAGAAAGAAACTTGACATCTGACAACTGTAATGTTGGTATCTGGCCTCCTCTGGCATGGTGTTTATAACCTATTGATGAGAAAGTTTTTTAAGCTGAATTATCTCTAAACTGAGAATTTTCCACACTGAACTTTTTAGGAAATTTAAATACTTCCTTGTAGAGGAATCACAGACTATCAAATCCTGATAGATTTTGAGATGTTGGTAGATTTTTTGCTTCTGTTTAATAGATGACAGAATATTAGTGGATCAGGAAAGCAAAATAAAATATTTTTATTATTTGGCATGGCCAATTCAATGAAATTTCCCAAATATAACAGTTTCTGTGTTTTTCTTCTTTATTGATGTTCTTTTGCCACATATTCTGTGGCTTTGGAAAAGTCACTTGTCGGAACCTGTTTTTGCATCATCATTGTGCCTTATTATGTAAGTAAAGATTGATTCACTGAATAGGTTTCTAGATACTATAAAATTCTGACTATTTATTTTGTTTATTTCTCCCTTTTCTGTCAACTTTCCATCCCCAAGTGGTTCCCAGAGCTTTTGTAGAACACATTACCAAGCCCCTGAACTTATTTTTTCTTGCCTACTCCTAGATTCTGGCATCTGGGCAAAATGTCTCTTCAGGGAATACCAAGAGGCCTTCATTAACTAATTTGTTATTTGTCCTTAATACATTAATGAGCAGGTTTATTTTTATCTTCAATAATGAGAGATCTTTAGTAGAAGATATGCAGGTGTTGCTAACTCTTAGTTTTTTGAGGGTGAAGATTGCCTGTATCTTGTTCATTGTTATATTGAAGGGCTTAGCAAATAACCTAGTACACAATAGTTATTCAGACATTTGTTAGGTTTACTGATTGATCTGAAATATATTATTAGATTATTCAAAGCCAACAAATCATTCTCAATATTTAGTCTGTGTTTTAGTGTTGGTCGATGTCTTAGCTGGTTCAGGTTGCTATAACAAAATATCATAAACTGAGTAGCTAATAAGCAACAGAAATTTATCCCTTACAGTTCTGAAGGCTGAGATGTCCAAGATCAAGGCACCAGAAGAGTTGGTGTCTGGGGAAGACTTGCTTTCTAGACAGGTGTCTTTTTGCTGTAACCTCACATGGCTGAAGGAGCAAGGGAGTTTCTTGGGCCTCTTTTAGAAGAGCACTAATCCCCTCATGAGGGCTCCACCTTCACAACCTAATTACATTCTAAAGGCCCTACCTCCTAATATCATTGCTTTGGGAGTTAGAATTTCAAAATATGAATTTGGTGGAGGGCGGGGGGAGGACAAACATTCAGACTATAAGCAATCAATATTCTTACACTCAAAGCTACCACTCACTCAAACTGACCTCCATGCTTATTTTCATTAGAGATGATATAAAATGATTGATTATGCATATACACAGTATACACATCTGATGGTGAATTTTTGGTGTGGTAAGACAATTTTGTGCACATAGCAATTCACATATTCCCATATAGCAAGTACAGTGGAAAATTTGAAGAGTGAGAACATGTGGTAGATTTTTCCTGAAGGTCTAACCTTGACAATTGGAATTGGGAAAAAGAAAAGTGAAG